CGATCACTCTGTAAAGGTAAATGGTGTAGCATTCCACTCTATGGTCTCGTCAAAACGGCGATCAAACAGAAATACCCATCAACCAAAAATGCAAAATTAGCTCTCCAGTCCTTTCAAGTTTCTTGCTTTGTTCGAAGAGAATTGTGGGTATGATTGCATGGCTCCAAAAGGATGCCATTAATGATCATTGTAGATCCGAATCATCTGGGTATTTTCTGTTTTCAACTTTTATGTAAACTTGACCACGTATAAGATCGTTTCACGTATAAACTCTGCCTTCAAGTCCCATTCCTTGAGTCTACAATTTTGATATATTACTCCTAATTTTATTTTAGATAAAGTATATAAAGGGTCACCATACCACGTGATATATTTTTTTTGTCATAAAATTTTAAAATTTATAAAATAATCATTAACTTATAAAATAATCATTAACTTATAAAATAAATTTATTAAAATATTATAAAATAACCATTTCACGTTATGAAATAATCTATTTAGCTTGGACTGTTTCAAAATTTTATACTCTTAATCTAACCTTACAATAAGTTCTTAATTATGTCTCCTACAAATTTGGTGTTTATGAATAATCCAATGTTGTAGTTCATCAAAACAGGCTGGCGTTGAATGATAATGTATATATACATGTACGTAGACATAACTACTTAAACCAAAAATCTCTAAACATAATAATAATTGTTTTAGCCATCGAGACCACTTAAACATATCAACACTGTTTTTTTTTTACAAATATTAAATCTAATCCTAATAGAAAGGAAAATGAAACTCTAAAGAAAAAAAAGAATATTTCTAACGGATCGAGATTTTATAACCTAAAAAATATAAAAAAATAAAAACCAACAATTTAATCGACCAACAAACATGATTATTCTATTTTTTTTAGTTGAGGATACTTTTCTACTTAGCTACATGTCCGACCATTATTATTATTATTTTTAACTATACATATGTCGGACCATAATTTATGTTTGACCAATTCTATGAATGTACTGTTATAAATAAAATAGGCTATGGAAAATACAGAGAAGGTTAAAAATATACCCAAAATTAAATTTCACAAGTTTATAATGGAATGAGATATAATGAGACATAATTTATTTTTGATATTTTAATTTTTAATAATCTTATCTTCATGTTACGATTTTTTCTGTATTTTTATGACATGGTTTTTTCTTGCCATTCGGCGTATTTCTGGTCTTTTTATCGTTCGTTTATCTTATTTTTAGGGTTGGATTCGACATCGCCTCGACTAATCAAGACACACTTATTTGTCATCCTGCTAATCTTCCATGTTTAGACTTTCGGATTGAATTTGGATACGCGGTTGCATTCGTTGATAGTTTTCTCACACCGTTCTAATCTGATTTGTAGTTTGTCGGTGCTCTTCCAGTAGTTTAATCACTTTTGTTCGTTTGTCGATACAATCATATACATTCGTATCTATCTTTTGTTTAAGTTATTTGGTTGGATTTTTAACATTTTCCTTATATGATCCTTATACGATCTCAAATTGTTGATTTTTTGTATCATTAGTTATATGAAAAAGCCCTGATTATATGTTTAGTTTACTATTATGATTGTAAACTTTTATTTTAATTTTGGATATTTATTCTATATAATAAAACTAGCAATTTCTAATTAAATAGTAATAATAATTTATGTTTAAATTTATTACTATTAATTATAATAATATTTTCTTCGATATATTAATATAAATTATTATTTTCAAATGCAATATAACTCATCGTGACAGATGTTATTATCCTTAAGTGGCTGTAATGATTAATGTTGCAGTGACACATCTTTGTTGGTTTAATTAATTAAAAATATTTAGAGAATATAAAAACCCTTAATTATTGTTAATAAAATTATTAATTAATAATTAAAAAGATAAAATCATGTTCATGTTCACGTGCATCTCTCATTTTAATTAACTCCACTGTTAGATTCTGTTCCAAAATCACGTTCTCAGATCCCATTCATCCAATAAGACTACTTGTAAAAAGAACCTTCAAATTTATTTATTTATAGGGTAAAATACAAATTTCAGTACCCAGCTTTCTTCTCACTCCTTTTTTGGTCATTAAAATTTTAAATTTACTTATTGAATTTTCAATTTACTCCTATTTTTGTCACTCAGGCATTAAATCAGATATTAAAGGATGATATGGCATTCGTGTGTGCTTATGTGGACTATTTTTGTTGAGATGGCATTCACATATCATCCATGTCATTTCTCCTTTTGTTATCCTTTTCCTCCTAAGATAAAAGTTTTGCAATTTCATCCATATGTCATTGTTGGCGTTGCAATTATCATTCTTCGACATCTTTTTTCGACCACTCAAGACATCGACAAACTCATCTTATCATCTCTTACCACTCCATCACTTGTTCATTTTACCCACAGTTGATATTTGAAAGAAGATGTTCCGTCATCAAAAAAATAAAAAAATTGAAAACTAGTTTTTTTTTATAAAAAAACAAAAAAACAGATAAAATTTTGGGGTAATTTATGATTTTAAAAACAAAAATGTCCGGACTTAACACTCTGATTGAACAAAATAGGGGAATATAAAGTTAAGTGAGTAAATAATTTTTTAAACTTTAGTGACCAAAATAACAGTGATAAGAGAGTTGAGTGATGAAATTTGTAGTTTATCCTTGTTTATATATTTGAAAAAACAAATAGAATTTGGATCTCCGCCGCTGCTAAGTTTTCCAGGGAAGCTTTAAGAAAAAAAAACTAAAATAATAAAAAGAAATGTAGACTTTAAAAATAAAATAAAAATATATTACTCTATCATGTGTATATATATATATAGCATTAATCCACTAGATGCCCCCAAACTATAGCATATGCTTTAAATTAATTCTTATGCTTCAAGAATGTTATAATTAAAATTTTAAATTAAAATCAAATTCTTTGATTAAAGCATATTTAAAACAAGTAGATTAAGCGTGAATCAAACGATTTTAGTAGTTAAAAGATTTATTGTTATCCCTTGAGGTTTCGAGTTTCAACACTACGTATGAGCATCTATTGTTAAATGGTAAGAAATCTTTAAACAAATACTATGTTCCATTCACCCCAGATTTACATATAAAAAATTGTTTACATCTTCGTTTCTTTTAACATTTTAGATCCAAACCTTCCGTTGTTCGTGTAAATATAAATCTCTTTAAAATTTTATTCATATATTTAGGTGCGAAATTAGAAAATTTTCTTTGGAGAGATCAAAACTAAATCATGAAGTTTTAGATAGTCTAAATAAAATTTTATAGCGCATTAGGTTATAAGTTTCAATATTCGAAAGGAAGTGACTGGTTTTTTCCTTTGGGTCAAAATGTAATTTCACAATACATTATTTTAAAATTTTTTCATTTCTTAGGAACTTAGATTGTAATTTTACCATTTTTGATGGGTCTATGCCTGTTTTAAATATGCTTCATGTTAGATCTGTATCGAAATTGTGATACGGTATTGACATTTTGACAACTCAATTAGAATGTTTTTATGTTCTTAATTCGTTAAATAGTTTCAGTGGTAAAAGAAATATTGATATTCTTGGAGGTTTTAAATTCAAGCAACGATATTTACAGGATATATATATATATATATATATTGTCAATAGATTAATTTTTTTTTGAACATATATTACATTTTAACCACTCCGTCAATAAAAAAAATGTATGTATGTTCTTGGACCGATTTAAAAATCTTTATCATTATTTTAAGGATAGTGTTGAGGAATTAGCCATATATTTACAACACAAAAGGTGAACGAGTAAAACAAAAAGGGTAATATAGTCAAAGTAAAAGTTGGTATGAACGGGTAAACGGCATAATTGAAATGTCAAATCTGCTTGTAAGTTGCTAGTTATAAAATTTGCTACATTTGACAAAAACGACCTTGGAACACATGTCGTAAACCCACCAACCATTTCCCCTGCGTGTACAACACGCTCCAATCAAATAAGTGTAAACTCCAATGTTGTCGTGATTCTCCAAACTCTGAGAGAAAAGGTTAACAGTGAGCATCAATGGTATTATCTTGCAGTTAATTAACTAATATTTTTTGTCTAATTCTTAATTCTTAGCTATTTTATTATATAGCCACATGTACTTGATTTATTATTTCGAATTTAATATTATTAAAAACTTATTATTACATAGATAATCTTTTCAATTTAGTTTTCTTTATTCACAATACTAAAATTTAAACCCTAAATATTATTTAAAAAAACATAATGTTTCATTGGATCCTTTGGTTTTATCGATTTAAATTTCCAAAATCAAAAATCAAACTTACTAAAATAGGACTAAACTATCAATTTGTAAAATAGAGGCATGGAATTCAGAATTAAACCTACATTTATTTTATTGCGCCGATTGGCGATATTTCTCTGGTAATAATAAGAAAAAGAAAGCCGCGTTTTTAGCGAAAGAAAGAGGAAAGAGAGGAGGATAGTTAGCTGGTCAGCACTCAGCAAGCACGATGGTTCTCAGAAACAGTACACACCATAAATAACTACAAAAAACCACACATCTAAATTCAAACATTTATAGAACACCCAACACACAGCTGCTGCTTATATTCATCATCTTTACATTTTCTTCAATAATCTAATAAATTTCCCCTCCAAACTCTGGTACTTGTTCTTTCTCTCCCTTATCTTGTATTGATATTGCTATGTATGTTTAGATTTTCTGACAGTTTGATTTTTTTTTTTGCTTTGGAAAAGTTGCTGACTTTGTTTTCTTTACTTACCTTTTTGGTTGATTGCAAATCAGTTAAGAGTTTTATGTTCTTCTTTTCTTTTTAATTTTGATGCTCTGATCTGATATGGGTTTCTTTTGATGCTTAGATTTCTGGGTTTTGCTTGAAAAAATTCCGGGAATTATTAAAAGTTTGTGAACTGATTGATGAGATATCATTGGATGAGGAAAGCAGTGTTGTGGGGGGAATATTGATTGTTTCATGGGCAATACGTGCCGTGGATCTTTCAAGGGGAAGCTTTATTCTTCGAACCGCACCGCCGCCAAGACTTCTTCCGGCCGATCGAATTCCACCGATTATTCCCCTTCGACTGTAAACTCTCAACAGCTTATTGCCCAAGAATTCTCCAAAGAAACCACCAAAAAGGACCCCAATTTGCCTCTCATTAGCCCCACCAACAAGAAAGACAACAGCAACATGAGACGAGGTATCGATCAACAGGCTTACTATGTTTTAGGTCACAAGACTCCCAACATCCGCGACCTTTACACTTTGGGTCGTAAGCTAGGACAAGGACAGTTTGGGACTACTTACCTTTGTACCGAGATCACCACGGGCGTCGAGTATGCCTGTAAGTCGATATCCAAAAGGAAGTTGATCTCCAAAGAGGATGTCGAGGATGTTCGGAGGGAGATTCAGATAATGCACCATTTGGCTGGTCATAAGAACATTGTGACGATTAAAGGTGCATACGAGGATACTTTGTATGTGCATATCGTTATGGAGCTTTGCTCTGGAGGTGAATTGTTCGACCGTATTATCCAGAGAGGGCATTACTCTGAGAGGAAGGCGGCTGAATTGACTAAGATCATTGTTGGGGTTGTCGAGGCTTGTCATTCGCTCGGGGTTATGCATAGAGATTTGAAGCCTGAGAATTTCTTGTTGGTTAACAAAGATGATGATTTCTCTCTCAAGGCCATTGATTTTGGACTCTCTGTCTTCTTTAAACCAGGTAAGGAACTAAATGTTGCAACATAAGTAGCTTGAGGCTGGAGCATACATCAAGTAGTCAATGGAGAATAATTTTTTTGACACATTTAATCCGCTATGTGTTCCTCGTTTTGTAGGTCAATTACTCGATCTTGTTTAAACCCAATTCATATCCTGAACATTTAAACTGTACGCCTACTACCTTATCGGATTTATGTTATGATTGCCTATTAAAGTGTGACAGCACAGCACACATTTGTAATAATTGAAGAGCCAAAATTTCTTATTTTAGTGAGTCACATAGTAACTTGGACCCTTTTAGAATATAATGAAACCGATTTATTCTCGAATCAAGTTGATTGACATAATCTGTGGTTTACTATGTTAGACCAAGTTTTTACCGATGTGGTTGGAAGCCCATATTATGTTGCTCCTGAAGTACTCCTCAAGCATTATGGACCAGAAGCCGACGTATGGACTGCAGGAGTTATACTCTATATATTGCTAAGTGGAGTGCCTCCATTTTGGGCAGGTATTTATAATGTTCTATGGTTATGCTATGCACCTTAATGAGTTTTTAAGTGATTCTTATACTTACAACCATTTTTTCTGTCTTCCCTTCAGAAACACAGCAAGGGATATTTGATGCAGTGTTAAAAGGACATATTGACTTCGATTCAGACCCATGGCCCTTGATATCTGATAGTGCAAAGAACTTAATTCGAAAGATGTTATGCTCTCAACCTTCAGAGCGGCTGACTGCTCACGAAGTATTATGTATGTTATACGTACTGCCTTTCTGTTATTATCTAAGCCGGAGACCAAATTGTGATATCTTTGCCTTTTGTATTGTTTAGGTCATCCTTGGATTTGTGAAAATGGGGTTGCTCCTGACAGGGCACTGGATCCAGCTGTACTTTCTCGCCTCAAACAATTCTCGGCAATGAATAAACTAAAGAAGATGGCTTTACGGGTAAGATTCTCGAGTTGTGTATGTTCACGACATGTGTATCAGTCTGCACATTGTGAGAGAAGAAACAGGATGCATACGTATAAGAAGGATCCTGTCTTTGAAGGCCTCATAGCTGTTTGTCATTAAACAAACAATGCATGATTTTGTTCTCGAATATTTCTTCGCCTCGGTCTAGCATGTCTTTTCATTATATAGTCTTAGAGTCTAGTCTAAAGCACATTGGAACTTCATGTTGGATTTATACATTCTCTGCCCTTTTTCTACTATCAGGTGATAGCTGAAAGTCTCTCCGAGGAAGAGATTGCTGGTCTGAGAGAAATGTTTACGTCTATGGATACTGATAACAGTGGTGCAATCACATTTGATGAACTCAAAGCTGGATTACGAAGATATGGCTCTACCTTGAAAGATACAGAGATAAGGGACCTTATGGATGCAGTAAGTGTGTTTTGAAGCAGATAGCTAAATATTCGTTTCATTTTCCTTTTATCTTATTTTTCATCATCTTGCACCTTTTTGACTCGTTCATTCGTTTATTTTCTTTTTCTCTAATCATCTTATATGTGTTCATGAATTTGTGAGGGATGCGGCATTCTTGTTCCCTCGTGTTTGTGGATATATATTTTGTACAAGGTTGACAACAGCATAAACAACTTATATTGTTGCACCGCTTGTTACGTTATTTCCTGTATTAATTGCATGTTTGCACCCTAATCATCTTAGTTTATTTGTGTTCTCAGGCTGATGTTGACAATAGTGGGACCATTGATTATGGAGAATTTATAGCTGCAACAGTTCACCTTAACAAACTAGAGCGTGAGGAGCATCTCGTTGCAGCATTCCGATACTTTGATAAGGATGGAAGTGGCTATATTACTGTCGATGAGCTTCAGCAAGCTTGTACTGAGCACAACATGACAGATGTTTTGCTTGAGGATATAATTAGAGAAGTTGATCAAGATAATGTAAGTCGTCTTACCTTGATGACCTGATGTTAACAATATTCTCGAGCTAGTTGTTCTCTGATATGATTGAGCATGGTTCTGCTAATAACATACAATGTCAAATCCCTTATCGCAGTCTCACTGTTTATGGTTCCTAAATATAAGCATGAGACATAGCTGTTGGGTTTGTGCTAGCGCATCCTCGATCCTCACTGCATGTTCCCTCAGTTCGAATATTTCTTTTTTCGTTCATTTGATGATTAAGTTTTGATTACTACTGCTTCTCTTTTTCAGGATGGAAGAATTGATTATGGTGAATTTGTTGCAATGATGCAAAAAGGCAATGCAGGAATTGGTCGACGAACCATGCGAAACAGTGTGAATATAAGCATGAGAGATGCCCCCGGTGCTCTATGATTTCCAGTCACGCCCATCATGTATAGGTATCTTCTGTCTAGCTTCCTAGATCTGGATAGTTGAACCACAAGTAAAAATTGGATTAAAGGGACATTTCATCTCACTTCTAACCTCGAAATCGGGATGGTCTGTAATGGTGCAATTCTAAAGACCCTTGCGCCGGAATAACAATAATTGAAAAACTCCGATATTGATGTATTGGTGTTTGCATTTTCATTAAAAGGGATCGGAAGAGACTTCTGCACCCATTTTTGTTTAGTCTTCCTCGAATTATATGGTACTGACATCTACTTATACGCAGATTGTACAGCCAACCCAGACGATGAAGATCAGCAACAAAGCATTCGGGAAACGGCTCTGGTTCCGCGAATGCTTCAGGACTTTGCCGGCAAAGAAAACGGTTGATGGCTATTGGTTTATGAATGGCATAGTTTTGTAAACTTGAGGAGTGTTTAAGTGTTAAAGTTATTCAAATTACGATGTCATTAGTCATGCCTTTATTTGATTTTTTTTGAAGGATTTGCAGATAATAGTGTCTTTAAATTGATAGATATGTTGATTTCGTCCTTCATAATTATATATTTCTAGCATGATTCACGTGTTCTACAAATTAATATTTTCTACATCAAAGTCACTTTCTTGCAATTTCTCCAATGATACGACTTTAAATTAAATTTTCGATTCATACTTAAACTTAATTGTGTTGTCCTTAAATATTTGAAATGTATTCCTTAAACCAACGCTATACATCAAATTCGTCGGTAATACGAGGGATTCACGTGACAATAGCTCCTTGTGGAAACAAAATTACAGCTTTATTAGTGACAAAAAGCATGGGATCCATATTTATGCACCGACACTGATTCAAAGCGGCACTGGTAACCCCACTTGGTTACTTAGAGGATGCTTTGGCCTGGCTAAGAAGGTTTGTAAGCTCATCTCATCATGCGCTAGCCTGGAAACTACAATTCTTGTCCATGCAATATTTGCACCGACGTTCATAGAGAAAGCGACGCAATGTGTAATTTCTGTACAATAACTCTATACAATTTACACCTTTCAATTACAAAATTCAACATTTAATTTGCTTAAATATATAATGGAGTTGAAATATTTAGAATCAGATACAAATAAATAAATAAATTTTACATTACACTACAGACGTATCATACTTTTACAATTGAAACCTTTTATCGTAGCTAATATATGTTCCCAATACAGTGGATTCATTGGCATCCATGGCCAAGCAATATCACTTTATATAACAGAACATTTGCATTATATATTGTAAACAAATTAATGAAAGCTTAAATCAAAGAAGCAATGAAGCTTTATTGAAGGTGGTGGAATTCAAATTCCCCAAGATTCAACCACAGGTATAACTCTTTCCATCATCGAAATTCTTGGAGTAATCTAGAGATTGTACCTGCAAGTTTGCGGGAGGCTATCTCTATGATCAGATCCCACGAGTTTTCTCATCTCAGATCTGACTTTGTAAAAGATATGCCTCCAGCTGCCTTTGTTGTGGAACCCAAGGATCCTGGTTTCTTCTTCGTTCATCTCGATGTCTTTAGCAAACATAGGTTTTTTGGGAAGGACCCAAGACCAGCCCCAGTCCCACCATTTTTTAATCGAGCTACCGGCGTATTCTCCCATGGAAGACAAAGATTTCGACCTGGGGAATGTACAGGATTTCTCCGGTGAAGAGGTGGGATGTAATTTGAGGGACAGAGCGGAGAGCCGCCTTCGTAGCCGCCCTGCGCCGGAGGCTGCTGGGAGGTGGTCTTTGGATTCGGTTTGCGAGACTGGCAGTGAAGTGTTCTTTTGGAAGCTTTGAGTGATGGAGCTCATGGTTGCTGGTCTATGGCGAGAAACAAGATGGTTAGAGAGATTTGGCGACGACCGGTAATGGTGGCGTTGCTGCCAGAAGTAAGAAGAGAGGGAAAAGGAGAATAAGAGGTGAAATGTTAGTGTTCACAGCTCCATTACAGCCTGCTTTTATTCCTTTTTTCCAAGAGAAAATTTGGATTGTGAAAGTCGGTGGTGAATGCGTTATACCAGCTAGATCAGGGCCGGGCCTCCCGGTCCGACTTGGGTTGGGTTAAAAATAATAAACTTGGTCAAATCCATAAGCTATAATGATAAAAAAAATCCTAATATTTAATTCAATATTCATTTTTGTTTTAGATGCTTTAGCCCTAATATTTTTATTTTGGGAAAAAATGAGAAAAATTTATAGGAAAAAAAACATTGAGATTTCTATTTTATAAGTATATACAAATATCTTTTCTTTTTTAAATTCTTTGTTTTTGATCAAATGTCTATTCCGTGTTGAGACAAATCCATTTTGGTTGATCAAAAACAATTTTCTCATTTTGAAATTGAACATGAACCGGACACTGTCAATAGGATGTGTCTGAAAGCAAACCTACATATGTATATAATTACCAAAGCAAATGAAATGAATTAAGATTCTAAGAAACCAAACTGTCTGCATCAAATCTAGGAAAAGACATCAAAGCTTCTTCATCGAAGCCTTATTTCTTCGCCTTTGCGAACCTGAGGCATCGGTATTTTTCGCCGCTTACGGTGATCTCCAACGCCCCATCTTGGTTATCTTGATTCGATGCTGTTCCCATCAAAACACTTTTCTCTTTTTCGAGGTTTTCTTTTTCCACCTTCAGCCTAGCCTCCTGTCGGGCAATCTCTGCCTGAGAGATAAAAATTAATGTTCTGATGACCAAAAATAGTCGAGCAACAGCAGGACACACAAGTATGATGTATCAATCACATCGGTTTAAATAATTCATGTGCATACTAAACAGATTGGAAATTCCATTAAACCAGAGAGACCATACATCTACTGATAATCGAACCACGACGGGTTTGGATTAGAATTGTCTAACTCAATCACGATTGCATTTAATCACTCCCGTGCATAATAAAAGTATTAGAGACAACCTTAAAACAGTGTCTGTATTTCTACGGATAATTTTAGAATTGGGACCAAGTCATTCATAGAAGAACTACCACTTCGATTCGAGTATTAAATGAAGATAAATGCATGCCAAAAGCCTATGAAGAGACAGTTAATACTTGAAATGACTAAATATAGAAGAAGAAACACTAACAACAATAATTTCATTAGCAAATCAGCAGATCAGTAACATGTCCTGATAAAGGAGTTATGATACTTGGACTCAAATATGAGTGTCTGATACAAATACGTGTTTGACACAAACTTATTTGAAACTCTGAGGTTTTGTATCACATCCCCATATCCACGTCCACGGACATGGTGTCGGACATGAAAACTTCAACAACATAGAAAAGGAAGAAACCGGGTCGCCATCGGACGGCATGACTCATAATCAAGACATTGGATGCTCATATGCATTTGTCATCATCATTTTGGCAGGCTGAAAGCAGATACATTTTCAACAGATGTGAATGGACCTATTTCTACAAATCATTGCTTCCAATGCATATAGGGATGGCTTTGGCTAACATAAGCCGAGAAATTGAGCAAATTAGACATTCATTAAGAACTAATTCATAAAAATAACAAACATCCATTATTCAGAACCCTAAATTCAAGATAAACGAAAAACACCCAGTCGTCAAATACCCTCTTCAATCTCCATGAACTTTGGAAAAGTTTAAAAACAGTTGTAAAGCAGGGTAATCAATAAACCAAAATCCCCCCCCCCTTTTTCAATAAGCAAAGGAAGAAGAAATCTGACCTCACGGCGAGATAGTTCGGCCTTCCAGGCGGCTTCACGCTCGGCGACTTCACGCTCGCGTTCCTCGATGTAACTTTGCATCTCTCTCTCCTTCATTATTCGGTCTTGTATGTCGGCTTCCAACGCCTCTTTCAGCTCCTCCACGAACTTATCGACCACCGACTTAATCCTCAGCGACATCTTTGTAAAATTTCAAGTGAACCAGATAACTGTTAAACTACCGCCAAATCAAATTTCAGTTCGAATGAATAACCTTTCGTCCTATTATGTACAACGGATACTTTCCATTCTTTTTTTCTTGCAAGTAATGAATTGAGAGAGCCCAATAGAATGAGAAACAAGAGAACAAAAGGCAAAGGTATTTCACCGTATCAAGGCAAGGCAAGGTATTGGTAATCGGCTAATCGCCGAAAAATAACTTTTTTTCTTTTCTTTTCTTTTGGGAACAAAAATGAAATAAAATGCGTGAACAAAGAAGAAACCAAATTCCCAACCTTTTGATCGTCTTATGGTTCAGGCCCGCTTTGGAGCCTCATCTTTTCTCAGCCCACCATTGATGACCTTGAAAACGCTGCGTTTTATGACGGAATCAAGAAATTTTTATTCGTGGATCAAAGAAAAATTTATAATTTTTAGGAAGCAGAAGTTAAAAACTTCATGTTAAAATCCAAATAGAGTATACTGAAAACACACTGATCAAAATTTGAACACGTGTATGCTTATCACCTAAACAACTTAAATCTGTTATGTCAAAAAAAAAAACTCTTCAAAATTTAATGATACTAAATGCTTTAAAACACATCAAATCTAAGTTTTCAATGTAATAAGTATAAACATGCTTAAAATTTGATTTACATGTTTTAAATATGTTGCACATTAAATTTGAGATGATATTTGACGCTCAAATTGACAAAGGATTTGATTGATATGATATTAATACTTTGAGGACTGAAAAAAAAAACACAAATTGCTTTCCTTGCTATTTATACATTACGAGGAGATACCCCAATCTCCACTCCGCTTACGGTATGCTGGTACCTTACAACTCGTCTCGTGAATCTTCGTGTCTTCTGGGTGGGATATATGACGCATAAGCTTTAATTACAGACACGTATACATCAATTCCTCGCAAGTACTCGGCATGGTTTAGAAACTGCAATAACACGGTACAAGATTTACAGTCAGATCACATGCGAGCACAGAAACTAGGATCAAACATTTAGGAGGGAGTAAATTACTTTACATCAAAAGAAGAAGGGTCTATTAAATATTTAAATCTAAAAATTGAAAAGAAAAAGGGTCTTATTTGACTAATATTTTAAGTGAAAAGGACCTAAAATGCTATTATACAAAAAAAAATTGGGTTTCCAGAATCCTAATTTGCTATGAGTACTGTCTAAAACATATTCCACTAAGTTCTTTAGTTCTTCAGGAGGAGGATCACTAAGCAAAGGGGCACAAATATGCAAGAATGCACATTAACATATGACAATAATCATACAATACATACCTCGTTATGGTCATGAAGCAAAATGGGAGTGTTAGCCATAGGCGAGAAACCAATAGCATGCAGGCCTACTAGTCGAAAATTACGAGCATCTGTCGAGGCAGGAAATATCTCGGGCTTTCCTATTTTTCCATTTGTTTTCATGATAGCTTCTTCCAACAGAGCCCACCATGGATTAGAGCTGTCAGTTGCTGTCACAAGTGGCCTTCCCTGGTCATCATGCGGAATTCCCTTTCCCCTAAACTGCCAACAAAGATGATCAGTTCAAAAAGGCAATGGAAAGCTACTTTGTGACTCATGATCTCAAAGTGATGCACAAGTCTCAGTTTGGGCGTTCAATGTCATTCGATGATTCTAATGGAACAAGCAGGGGAAAGATTGGAACTGTAACATGTCAACATACTAATTCCACCATTGTATGACTGTGAAATATGATTGCAATTGTCGTGCTTTTATCATATTACCAAATACAACTTGTTTTCAGAAAGAAATGTTTCAACATCTCTACCTCAAATGACATGTTTCGTGAAGTAGGAGCCCATTCCTCTGCTATCCGTTTCTCCAACGACTCTAGATTAGCCATTGGTGGTATTCGGATATCAAAACCAGCCTCTGCTTCCGAAGGCTGCAAATTCATGACAAAACCCTGGCGGGCAAACAACATGAAAGATATGAGAGGCTGGAATCAAGGCATCACTAGTTTCTATTGATTTGAAGAATATATGTGCATCGATTTCGGTGTGGCAACAAATAAATGTAGTTGAAAAGATAAGAACACATATAATCTCTAATGATCAACTCTAAACACTTCTAACAAGCAAATAAAATTTTCCAACTGTTAGAATTCAGTTATGCTCCAATAAAACTCATGAAAAACAGCTTCAATATTTCATCCATGCCTAGCAGGATGCCTCATCTTAGGCCTTGCAAAGTCTGCATATTATGTCTTTGCTTTAAAGAGTCATTTGCTAATATCTATGATATGTAGTTCGACATTACTCATACTCGGATGCAAGTTCTTCCAGTTCCATCAAAAGAATTCAAGAAACTTACCGTCGGGGAAGGCGTGCCGGCCTTCAGAAAGGCCATATTAACCGAGATAACTTCGCCTTCCGCCTTCAAACCTGTCTTCACCAAATCGAACTGTGAAGCCCGGAATCTCCTGATACTCTCAATGCTCTTAAAAAGGTTCTCCATGGCACTATCCTCATAAAGCTTGGCTCCATGTCCGGGTGCTCCAGTCGACTTTATCACCAGCATCCATGGAGCCCTCTCCCCATAGAATAGCCTATAATTCTCATTAGGGGAAGCCAACCCTGTTTCTCAAAAAACCACATATTTATCCAACAATCGCAAATAAGCTTTCACAAACACAAAAAAAGGGTTAAAATCTTCTTACTTCACCTTCATCAAGCGCTATACCGACATTCATATCCTTGAATACATCAGAGGAAGCAAGCTTCTGAGCACCAGCAAGGCCACCAATCTCCTCATCGGGAACAAACGACAAGTAAAGAGATCGTTTTGGGCGAAACCCAGAAATGTTCAACTTACGAACAGCCTCTATATACTGCATCCCGACGCATTTCATATCCTGGGAGCCTCGAGCAAAGATATTGCCTTCTTCATCGATGTGGGCACCGAAAGGAGGATAAACCCACTTTGAACTTTCAGAGGGGACAACGTCGGTGTGAGAGTTGAGGAGGATAGAGGGAAGAGAAGGGTCTGAGCCTGGCCATTTGAGGAGAACGATTGGCTTGCCTTTGACAAATTCGAGGACTTGGGATTCTAGGGAAATGGAATTGGCTTGGGCTAAGAGGAATTGGGTTGATTTTTGGTAGTCCGGGGATGGTTGGGAAGTGTTGATTTGGAGGTATTGTTGGAATCTTGAGATGATTTTGGATTTTTCGTCTTGGATTGGCGGCGTTTTTGAATTTGTGAGGAGTGGGAGTAGAAGTAAAGAATGGGACAATAGATGAAGAAGATTGAAACCTCGAGGTGTATCCATTGAAGAATTCTTGAAACCGCGAGCTCGAGGTGTCCCATCTATATTCTATACCTATCTTACAATTTTAATACATTTCTTAATTATATTTTTTTAAATTATAACTATTTTTTTAATTCTTATAATACATATGTATAATGTTACAATTCACTCTAATATTTGATAAAATGGCTTCTTTTAATTTATTTTTTTCAATATTTTGACTTTCAATATTTTATTTTATGATAAAATATTTATTGATTGGTTGAAAATTATTAATTGACTAATAATAAATACGTGTCACTGGTGTGATATTATGATGTGTTTAGAGTGACAACACTACACATGTCATATGTAAAAAATATTGACATTACATACGTCAAAAAATGATGTCAGAACACATGTCACTTGTCAAAATAATAATGATATGATATTACATATAAAAAATAGTGATACGACATTAACGTGTTGAAAGAGATGATATGACATATATAACATGTTGAAAGAGATGATGGGTCAGTGATAAGCATCAATTGTTTCATTCAATTAACGATTTTCATTCAATAATAAACTATTTTATACTAAAATAAAGCATTCTCACAGAAAAATTAGAAAATAAAGTAATTATTTAAATAAATATTAGTATTTTTTATGTTATACTAAATTTATAATTTAATTTCAACTCTATTCTTTTAAATTTTGATTCGATTGATATCGTTTTTTTAGGTTATTTTACATCGTTGTTATTACAACATATTATACTGAATTGAGAAATTTATTGATTTGGGTAATTTACACCGTATTTAGTGTAAAAATATATAAAATCAACGTAAATGATAAAATTAAATTATAAAAGGAAAAAAATATATAGTTAAAAATAAACGTAAGAGGTAGTGGAGATAGAGAGAAGGTGAGTAATTAATTAGCCATAAAACCCGATCGATTAAACACGCATGTATCGGCTCAGGCAAATCAAATTCCAACATATCTGGAGAAGAATTAGTCATTGTCCAAATTAAAAGAACAAAAAAAGCTCATTCTTCCATTCCATCACTCTCTCTTCTTCTCCTTTAATCTGTAATATTTGATTTCCATCTCAAAATTGTCTAATGAATTCGCGTTACAATTAACACTCAGATCAAAGCATAATTAATCAAATAAAGGTGATGTTCGTTACAGAAGCGACGTGAAAAAACAATGTTAGCTTCCCAAACGCTCGGAGGACCGTCGCGGTGCGGCCGTGTGCTAGGCCCGCCGCTCGACAAGATCATCAAGAACTCCGCGTGGCGGAAACACACTCATCTCGTTTCCTCATGCAAATCCTCACTAGACAAGCTCGAGACCCTCTCCGACACCGGATTGTCCGATCCTACGTCTCCGCTGCTTGGCATTTCGTCTGCCGACGCCAACTTCGTCCTCAACCCGATCCAACTCGCCTTAGAAACAAATTACGCCAAAGTCGCCGAGCCAGCCCTCGAATGCACCTTCAAATTGTTCTCATTCGGCCTATTTCGCGGCGAGATCCATAACAACGTATCCAATCCGATCCTGTACAAGATCGTCGAAGGTGTTTGCACAGTCGGCGGCATCGGCGAGGAATCGCTCGACCTCGCGGTATTACGAGTTTTGCTTGCCGCCATCCGATGCCCTTGCGTTTTGGTCCGTGGTGAATGCTTGATTAACGTCGTTAGGACTTGTTATAACATATATTTACGCGGTTTAAGCGGGACTAATCAGATCTGTGCTAAGTCCGTTCTAGCGCAGATTATACTAATTGTATTCACCCGAGCGGAGGAAGATTCCATTGATGTTCCGATCAAAACGGTGTTTGTTAGTGAGCTTTTAGAGTTCAGTGATAAGACTTTAAATGAAGGGAGTTCGATTTATCATTGCCAGAATTTTGTTAGCGAGGTTATGAATGCTAGTGAAGGGGTTCCGGATTTGAAGCTTTCGCAGCCATGTAAGGATCAGGAGTTGCAAAATGTGGAGCTTAAGGTGTCAAAATGGGAGGAGGTGGAGGAGATTGGGGAGGAAGAGACGAAGGAAGGGGCGGAATCGGGTTCTACTGGGATTAGTAAAATTAGGGAGGACGGTTTTCTTGTTTTTAAGAATTTATGTAAATTGTCGATGAAGTTTTCATCTCAGGAGAATGATGATCAGATCCTTTTGAGAGGGAAGACGCTGTCTTTGGAGCTGCTCAAGGTTGTTATGGATAATGGGGGTTCCATTTGGCGCTCGAATGTGAGGCAAGCCATTTTATACTTTTTTCACGTTGGGTTCTGATTTTATATAGTGAATAGTCATGATCGTTTGCACGTTGCCATATTACTCTGGGCTTTATTGGATTTCTTTTTCTCACGGTTGTTGGCCTGCTAGCACAACCGTTGTTGTATGTCATGGACATCATCATCTTGGGTTGTGTGTCATGTAGTATTGTAGTAACTCCTTTTTTCTGAAGTCTCCAGTTAAATAATCCTAATGTATTATGTGATACAAAATTGCAGGTTTCATAATGCAATTAAGCAGTTTCTCTGCTTATCGTTGTTAAAGAACAGTGCATTGTCAGCGATGACCATTTTCCAGCTCCAGTCTTCTATTTTTATGAGCTTATTAACGAAATATAGAACAGGGTTGAAAGATGAAATTGGAATATTCTTTCCCATGCTCGTCCTCCGAGTTCTGGAGAATGTTCTACAGCCAAGTTTTGTACAGAAAATGACAGTCCTTAACCTAATGGAAAAGATTGCTGCAGATTCACAGATTATCGTTGATATATTTGTGAACTATGACTGCGATGTGGATTCACCAAACATATTTGAAAGGTATTCCCCCTACCCCCAATAATTGTTCATTCTTGTGTTTGACATGACTGCTGCTTTCATGTCATATTTTCTAGGTAAGTATTCAATGATCATTTTGTGAAATCCTATATGAATTTGAAAACTTTTCACAATTTTTCTGCAAAAGGTCAGTCAACATGGGAATTAACTCTAGCACCAATATTATTTGATGTTCCCATTGCATGCTTCAGCTTCATTTTTAATGTAAAATTTAAATTCACGTTCTTTTCTTCCTCAATAACACACTTCAGAAACTTGTTTAAAAAATCTCGTTATCAGTTCATATGTGAAATCATCCATAAATGTGAAACCTATTATGTTCTCTCAAATTTTACACAAAGATGGTAGCCTACTGAAGAACTAACACAAGAACCTGTCATTTAGTGTTGTTCTCGGAGCGTGCTTTAGGATCTCTTCTATGTATTTTGTTTTCTTGAAAATCTATTCTTTATTTCTTAATGTGTTGCACTTAATAAAAATGTATTAAAACTCTTATAATTCCATCAGATATTTGCAGGATTGTCAACGGCCTTCTGAAAACAGCTCTAGGACCGCCACCTGCTTCAACCACAACCTTGTCTCCAGTCCAGGATATTACTTTCCGGCATGAATCAATGAAGTGTTTGGTTAGCATCATTAAGTCAATGGGAATTTGGATGGACCAAAAGCTGGCAGTAGGTGATTCTGTCTTGCGTAAGAGCTTCAAGAGTGACACTTCGTTAGAACGCTTTTCGAATCTGACTGCAGAAGATGGAACGGTCCCTGATTATGAGTTGCAGCAAGAAATGAATTCTGAATTGTCAAATGCTGCTACACTTGAGCAACGGCGGGCTTACAAGATTGAACTTCAGGTTAGTTGATGCTTTGTGTTGGAATCGAGCATGACTGTCTTCACGTGCAACATAATCATTTAGCATCCAAACTTTCGGGGAGGCTGCTTTAATATATCACGAGGATTTGCCATACTATTATTCAGTTCTACTCTCTCACGTTTTTTTTATAAAAAACTCCCACGTTTTTTTATATAGCTTAATATATGCTCAGTTTCTCCTTTTCTTCACAAGCTTGGTTTTAATGATGGATTTACTGGGTTATATGCAGAAAGGTGTCTCGTTGTTTAACAGGAAGCCATCTAAAGGCATTGAGTTTCTTATAAACACCAAAAAGGTTGGCAACTCTCCGGAGGAGGTGTCTTCTTTTCTGAAGAATAACACTTCTGGGCTGAATGAAACAATGATTGGTGATTATCTGGGTGAAAGGGAGGAATTTGCTTTGAAAGTCATGCATGCTTATGTAGATTCATTTGATTTCAAATCTATGGATTTTGGTGAAGCAATAAGGTTCTTCCTACAAGGCTTCAGGTTACCAGGTGAAGCGCAGAAAATTGACCGCATCATGGAAAAGTTTGCTGAGCGCTATTGTAAATGCAATCCTAACTCATTTACTAGTGCAGATACTGCATACGTACTGGCATATTCTGTCATAATGCTCAACACTGATGCCCATAATAGCATGGTCAAGGAGAAGGTTTGTTTCTTAGACCTTGGTTTGTTTCTTTTGCACATTATCAAATTGTGACCTTTTGCTTACATGCTTGCATATATATGTACTCGTTTTTTTAAGAACCCCTTCATGATTTATATTGGGGCTTGTAAACTATTCTGGTGCTTTATATTCTCATGTCAATAATATGGAACACCTCCCTGTACTCTTGCGAATTATATTCGTAAATATACATTGATCAAATTTACAAGTGCTTTGGTTCTGTTCTTATTTCTGTTTTATATTGCGTCTGTACTCAGATGACCAAGTCTGATTTCATTCGAAACAACCGAGGAATAGATGATGGCAAGGATTTACCTGAGGAGTATCTTGGTGCTCTTTATGATCAGATTGTGAAAAATGAAATTAAGATGAATGCTAATTCTTCCGTTCCTCAAAGCATGCAGGCGAACAGCTTAAACAAGTTACTGGGTTTGGACGGTATACTCAATTTGGTCAGTTGGAAGCAAGCCGACGAAAAGGCATTGGGTGCAAACGGGCTTCTTATTAGACAAATCCAAGAGCAGTTTAAGGCGAAGTCAGGAAAATCAGAGTAAGTTTTAATCTAATACATTTTTTTCGATGGTCAGTAGGACAAGGAATAGTAGATGTTCGACACTTGTATAAATCAAAATTATGTCTTGAATCGTAGTCTCAATTCAATAGTTTTGACAGTGTTCCTTCTTTATACCATTAGTCTGTGAGCTTCAGATGAGTTTTTCACATGTTTTTATATACGAGTAGAAATGTTATAATACATTTTCTGCAGGCCACAGGTTATTATATAAGTCGGTTGGGAATGAATTCATTTGATTTTTGTTTCTTGTCTGGCATAAAATTTGATAAGAGAACAACATGCATCATTAAACAAAGAGGACTTGGTTCTTGTACCTTTCTCAATATACAATATCCATCCTCCTGTTTTAAATTGATTTCTTTTTTCATCTTGCATCCCTAATTTTCCCAGTTGACATACATGATGTTTGGTTACCCTTTTGTTTCTTTGCTGTTGCAGCTCTGTGTATCATTCTGTTTCAGATGTAGCAATCTTGAGGTTTATGGTGGAGGTCTGCTGGGGACCCATGCTGGCTGCATTCAGTGTCACTCTTGACCAGAGTGACGATAGAATTGCTACCACCCAATGCTTACAGGGCTTTCGACATGCTGTTCATGTAACTGCAGTAATGGGAATGCAGACACAGAGAGATGCTTTTGTCACATCAACGGCAAAGTTCACCTTTCTCCATTGTGCTGCCGACATGAAACAAAAGAATGTTGATGCTGTAAAAGTGAGTAGTTTTTTCTTTTATTTTCTTTTTTGCACATAATAACAAAGAATCAAATCTTTCCCCTGGTTTTCTTATAAGCTATATCACGCGAAAGAGTTAGAATTGCAGCATCTCAATAATTTTCATGTTCCTTATTCTTCGCTTTTGCTTTGCCGTGGAACATCACTCGGAGTAGAACCAATTAGCAAATTGTGTTGGTTGAATAATAGAAGTCTTCCAATTTTTGTTAGTAGAGTAGATTTGAGAAACGCATCAAATTTTGTTAGCAATATTTGCATGTGTATAGTGGAAGTTTCTTTCTTTGATGTGTACATTTTATATTCTCACTTTTTGAAACATTTTACAATATAGGCAATAATTTCTATTGCCATTGAAGATGGTAACCATCTTCAGGAAGCCTGGGAGCATATATTGACATGCCTGTCCAGAATTGAGCATTTGCAACTGTTGGGGGGAGAAGGTACTCCAACTGATACATCTATTTTATCTGTGCCTACCACTGAAACCGATGAAAAGTTTCCAAAACCTGCTGTTTTTCAATCTCTGAAGAGAAAAGGATCACTCCAGAATCCAGCTGTAATGGCAGTTGTCCGAGGAGGTTCATATGATAGTACCGCTGGAGTCAACAGTTCGGGACTTGTAACTCAAGAGCAGATTAATCACTTCATTGCAAACTTAAATTTATTGGAACAGATAGGAAGTACCGAGTTGAACCATGTTTTCGTACATAGCCAAAGATTAAACAGTGAAGCCATAGTGGCATTTGTGAAGGCACTTTGCAAAGTTTCAATAACAGAGTTGCAGTCTCCAACAGAACCTCGTGTGTTTAGCCTCACAAAACTCGTTGAAATAGCGTAATATTCTTGAATCATTTTCTAAAAGAAAATTCCATAGCATGCTAGTTCTAATAGTATCTCCGTCCTTTGTGTGCCTATGGAGAATGCTTACTATAGAATGTTATGTTGCAGGCATTACAATATGAACCGCATCAGATTAGTTTGGTTTCGAATATGGAATGTTCTCTCTGATTTCTTTGTTTCAGTTGGCCTGTCTGAGAATTTATCAGTAGCAATATTTGTGATGGATTCATTGCGGCAGCTTGCTATGAAATTCTTAGAACGCGAGGAGCTGGCAAATTACAATTTCCAGAATGAATTTTTGAGGCCATTTGTGATTGTTATGCAAAAAAGCAACTCTGTAGAAATAAGGGAATTGATAGCTCGATATGTTTCTCAGATGGTACTTAGCCGCTTCAGTAGTGTGAAATCTGGATGGAAAAGTGTCTTTATGGTATGCTAATGGCTTGTATATGATTTCCATTGTCATGCAACTCCTACAGCTTTTCTTTTCACACTAGTTTGTCTTTTTTTTTCTCAGGTGTTCACAGCTGCTGCTGTGGATGAGCGGAAGTATATCGTCCTGATAGCTTTCGAGACCATGGAAAAAATAGTTCGAGAATACTTTCATCATGTAAGAGAGACAGATGCTGCCACTTTTACCGACTGTGTAAGATGTCTCATCAAGTTCACAAATAGCAGGTTTGACAGTGATGTTAGCCTTAATGCTATTTCGTTTCTCCGGCTTTGTGCTGTCAAACTTGCCGAGGGAGGGCTTGTTTGCGCAGATAAGAGCTCCGATGACGGTTCATACATTTCAGTTGCAACTAAGAACAATTCCGATCTACAAAATTTTGCTGATATGGATGTCCAGGCATCCTTTTGGATTCCTTTGCTATTAGGTAACCTGCTAGTTTATTTACTCGCACGGTTGCACCCTATAAATTCGTTCACACTTCCATGAATACTAGTAGAACTAGTTCTTCAACATGTGTATGTTGCTATTTTAAGTTAGAATTTTGATATGTGGTTTCCAGGTTTATCGGAACTAACATCGGACTCGAGGTTAGCTATCCGAAAAAGTTCCTTGGAAGTACTTTTCAAGGTCCTGAAGGATCATGGTCATCTTTTCTCACGAACATTCTGGATTGGTGTTTTTAACTCTGCTGTTCTCCCCATATTTAATGGTGCATCTCCTGTAACACTGGGTTCACCGACTTCGAAATCTCCTCATTCCAATGGAAGTCCATGGGACCTAGAAACTATTGCCACGGCAACACAGAGTCTTGTAGATCTATTTATAAGTTTTTACGATGTATTGAGATCCCAACTACCAAACCTGGTTTCTGTACTGGCAGGATACTTAAAGAGTTCAATACAGGGCCCTGCAAGCACCGGGGTCATGGCAATGTACCTTTTAACGGTAGAGTTAGGAAGCAGACTTTCGAAAGACGAATGGCATGGAATCCTTCTAGCCATAAAAGAAGCAGCCTCAGCGACATTGCCCTGGTTTATGAAGATTTTGAGAACCATGGATGGCATCAAGTTGCCCGAGAATTCTGGATCCTCTACTACTACTGAAACAAGTTCCGAGCAAGGATTGTCCAAGGATGACGTGGAGGAAGATAATCTGCAAACTGCAGCTTACGTGATCTCGAAAATGAAGAGTTATATTGCGGTCCAGCTGCTCATCATGCAGGTTCTCCCATCACAAAGCCTCTATTCTTGCATATGCTAATTATGACATGATCATATTTGTTTGGACCTCATCATTTCAGGTCATAACCGATATGTACAAAACGAACTTATACTTCCTGGCATCTGCCAATGTAAATGTCATCGTCGAGACATTTTCTTCCATTACATCACATGCTCAGCAACTGAACTCGGAGACCGCCCTGCAAAAGAAAATCAAGAAGATATGCTCGGCATTGGAGATCTCCGAACCGCCTGTGGTCCACTTCGAGAGCGAGGCTTATCAAAACTACCTCAACTTCCTCCAAGATCTAGTCAAGAACAATCCATCCGCCTCTAGGGACATGAACCTAAGATCACTAGTGGCAGTGTGTGAAAAGATATTGCTGATATACCTCAGCTGTACCGATTACAACTACGCGGCGGATAAGAAATTGGTCGAGATGCCGGTAACTCATTGGATTCTCCCATTGGGAATAGCCAGAAAGGAGAAAATGGCAGCTAGAACGCCTCTGCTCGTGTCGGCATTGAAGGCCTTGAGTTGTTTGGAGAGGGATTCATGCAGAAATTACATTGCAGATATCTTTCATCTGTTGGTGGATCTGGTCCGAAGCGAGCATGGCTCCACCGAAGTTCAACATGCTCTAAGCAACATTTTCCAGGCATGTATAGGCCCAATAATAATGCAATAAGTTCATTATGCTACATAATCTTGCATTTTCTTTTATCTGCCATTATCACAATTTTGACCATTATAACCCAAGATACACTTCTATATTTATTTACCACGTCCTGATTATATAATTTGAATTTTTCTTCAACTTTATTTTTTTAATTAATTTAACTTTTTCTTTTAACTTATTAAATCTAAACCGTTTATATGATAAATATATAAACATATTAAAAAATTTATCTATCTATTTTAAATACATACTCCATATTTTAAAGCTTTAAGTAATGATAAACAAACAATTTTTATAAAAAAAGGTATGCTTGAAAAGAATTTTTCAACCCAAATGCAAAAAATTTATAAACTTTTGAGACATTTATAGCTTTAACCTTTCATTGCTATCCTATGGTGTATGTGTTTTTCTTATATATAGTTTATAAACTTCTAGTTAAGACATAATTGTATGATTAATAAATTATTTATTAGTTTAAATATATTTTCATGTTAATTTTTTAGACAAAAAACATTTGAAATTTTATATATTTGTATAGAAACGTACAATTATTAAAATGAATTAGTTTTTTTAAATAATATGTTTATCTATTTTTATCATAATTTAAGTTGTTATATTTTATATAATAACATTAGAGAATTAATAGATCATTTAAACGTATAACTTTAACTTTATAACATTATATTTAAAAACTTACACCAGACACAATATATATATATATATATATAATTCTCATTTTCATTAGATAAAATAGAGAATTAATTGAAAATAAATATAAAACAAGATATTTTAATAATTATCATTAAATGTATAAAGATCAATTATATTACTTTTCGATTAAATATTTTTTATTTTATACTTGAATCTAATATCATTCTTCGAGAAAATTAACTCAACTCAAATCCGAATTAAAAGAATTTGGCCCTATAAATTAAGTAATAACCTATTAAATTTAAATTAAATATTTATTTCTACTCTTAATTTTATTTAAGGCAGTACAGTACCACGTGCCAGACATCGTCTGTCTTTTCTCTTCACGCGTCTTTTATCACGCACTCTTCCTCAAATCCTATAAATACCGCCTCCCGCCTTTATTTTTGGCATCTCAAACTCGAATCCTTCCCAGAAACCGTAAAAGGAAACTAACTGAAAACCGACTCTCAGTTGTTTCGGTTTCACTATCTCCGCCCTCCACCGTCGGGGTTCTGCTTCTGCCGCCGTAAACACCCAAAATGGAGGCTACTCGGCTATCTTCGGCTAAACTTGTTCAAGCTTTGAAGGCGAAGAAGACGGTTTCTTTCGACGAAGATCCCACATTCCCACTAAAGCCTCAGATGAATTGCCACTTCTTTTGCATCTAATGAATGGCTTTTTCTTTACCCTTTTCTTCTCGGTGGATTATTTCCTTCTTTCCAGTTGGCGCAAAAAGATCCGTACCTCCACGTCTCTCCACGTCGTCACCTTCTCCGAGATCGTCGCTATTCTGGCCTTCTTTGCATCGTTCATTTATCTTATGGGGTTCTTTGGGATTGACTTTGTTCAGTCTTTGGTTTTCCGGCCTTCTCCTGACGTTTGGATTTCCGAGGACGAGGAGGAAGATGAAGTTTTGCTTCGTAAAGAGGATGCCCGTAAAGTCCCTTGTGGACAAGCTCTCGATTGCTCGCTACCTCTTTTGCCTCCTAAAACACCCATCGTGACTGCCCAGAAAATGTTCGATGAAAAGCCTTTGACAGTTTTAACGTAGGAAGACGAGGAGATAATTAAATCCGTTGTGGCGGGAACAACTCCTTCGTATTCGTTGGAATCGAAATTAGGAGATTGCAAGAGAGCGGCTGCAATCAGGCGTGAGGCGTTGCAGAGATTAACCGGGAAGTCATTGTCTGGATTGCCCTTGGAGGGGTTCGATTACGAGTCGATTTTGGGGCAGTGTTGTGAGATGCCGATCGGGTACGTGCAGATTCCCGTGGGAATTGCTGGGCCGTTGTTGCTTAATGGAAGAGAGTTCTCGGTTCCCATGGCTAGGGTGCTTGTGGCTAGCACTAACAGGGGATGTAAGGCTATTCATTTGTCCGGTGGAGCTACTAGTGTTCTATTGAAAGAGGGATGACTAGAGCTCCGGTTGTAAGGTTCAGTACCACGAAACGAGCAGCCGATTTGAAGTTGTATTTGGAGAATCGTAACAATTTTGAGACCTCGTCTGTTGTTTTCAACAGGTTTGTTTCGATAGTATTTGAATTCCAGATTGATTGATATAAAACTCAAGCTAATTTTGTAATGGTTTATTGAAAGTTTTTCCTATTTTGGTGGTTGCATATCAAGTAGATTCGGTAGGCTTCAAGGTATCAAATCTGTACATGAGATTCACTTGCAGCACTGGTGATGCTATGGGGATGAACATGGTTTCCAAAGGAGTCCAAAACGTTTTGGATTTCCTTCAAACCGATTTCCCCGACATGGATGTCCTTGGCATCTCCGGTGAGTTTCATTTCCTTTTTGCAGACTTGCAAAATTTATGTTAATTCTACCGTTCAACCTTAGATTACTGAATGCGTGGATTTGTTCATATAGGAAACTTTTGTTCCAACAAGAAACCGACTGCGGTAAATTGGATCGAAGGACGAGGCAAATCTGTTGTCTGCGAAACCATCATTAAAGGTGATGTGATGAGGAATGTGTTGAAGACAAGCGTGGAATCTCTCCTGGAGCTTAACATGCTTAAGAATCTTACCGGATCAGCTATGGCTGGAGCTCTGGATGGATTCAAAGCTCATGCCAGTATCATTGTGAGTGCAGTCTACATGGCTACCGGCCAAGATCCGGCTCAAAATGTTGAGAGCTCTCATTGCATCACCATGATGGAAGCTGTTAACGACGGCAAAGACCTTCACATTTCTGTCACAATGCCTTCTATTGAGGTAACCAATCATGTCCATTTCCATTGCTGAAACAAAATCTGGGTATTGATGTTAGGTACCTAATTATCTCTGTTACTCTATGATTCATCCTTTAGGTTGGCACTGTTGGTGTTGGAACTCAACTTGCATCTCAGTCAGCCTGTTTGAACTTACTCGGAGTCAAAGGTGCAAGCAGAGAGGTACCAGGAGCAAACTCGAGGATGCTGGAGACCATAGGAGCCGGTGCCGTCCTTGCCAGGGAGTTGTCACTCATGTCTGAACTTGCATCCGGTCAACTAGTTAATATCCATATGAAGTACAATAGGTAACTAAGAATTTTTTTACAGTGACTACCGTTATATTTTTTAAATTTTTTAATAATAAAAATATTATTATAAAAATTTTTAAAAACTTAATTTATTTATAAAAAACCCAAACTTTTAATGAAATTATAAAAAAAATTCTAAAAACTAAAATATCTCATTTCAACCCCATTACCAACTGTCGCCATTTCTGACCACCATTGTCGATGAACACTTGAGTTTTGATTGGAATTTTACGTTGGTTCGAATGGTGGTGCCAGTGTGGCTTATGGACGTCAGAATCTGTCGAAATTGACAAAAAACAGTGACAGTAGCTTAAAATCCAACGAACCTTTGAACGTTTCTCTACGATAAAAGGTGGTACTTTACAATGAAAGATCAATGGGGTTTGATCGGAAGTTGATGCCGATGAAAGTGACGGTTATGGTCACGGATGGTTAGCCAACGACCATGGAAAGGGGAAAGGGGAAAGGGGAAAGGGAAAAAAGAAGGGGAGAGAGGGGGGATGCGGGTTGTGTTTGGGTTGTTTTTTTAATAAAAATATTTTTAATTTTTTAAAATAAATTTCAAAATTTCTAGAATGTGATATGTGTCATTTAATAGTCAAATTTAAAGGTTGTTACATTCTAGGTATCTAAAAATCTTATATGAAAACGTTAGTTACCTATTTTTAGTAAAAAAAAATAGACACTAAAACGTTTTTCGATATAAAGTTTAGACAATTATTTTTGTATTAAGCCACTATTTTATAATAACTTGATCAAAATTCAAATATTGAAATGGGCTAATAGGTCATATGAGCCCATCTTGATTTGGGTTGGTGTAAGTGATATTGAAAAAACTTGAGGATGTATAAAAATTACTCCTTTGGTCCATTCTAACCCGTATAAAATTGTTATTGGCACATTGGGCATTATTTTGTTCTCCGGCCTTTCTTTTATTCATTTTGTTTCTCAATTTCTTTTTACCCCTAATTTTACCCTTTAAGGGAGTTAAATTTTTGGAGTAACGTATGTGATTATTTTTAAATTCAAGTGTCAACTACATACCTAAAATTTAATTAATGAGCACGAACTAAATTATTTCAGTAATTAAAAGGATGATTGTTATTCATTGAGGTCTCGAGTTCAAGTACGATAGGTTTTCATCATGTTAATCATATTTGAACATCTTATGTTACATTTAAAAAAAATAGAGAAAAGAATAAATGAAGGACATGGTTTTGAGCAGTGAAGCATAATAAAATATGGAGGAGAATGGCAATGAATGTAATCACATGGACATGTTTTTGTAATTGAACCTCCACAATTATTATTCCATATTATAATATTTTGGAAAATAAAAAAAGCCAATGCATTTTATATAATTAATTAGTAAAGTGTCAATGAAGAAGCTTGTCATCTTTTGCGCACTTTACATTATTTAATTCAAACAACTTGCTCTTCTCTTGCCCTCAAGTCATTATGCAAATTCTAAAGATTCTCTGTTCCAAGTTTGCCATTATTAGTTCATTTTATTTCTAAAATAAATTACTTAAAGAATTTATAATAAGCTTTGAAGTGTAATTAAAAAAACCCATTGAAAATGAAATAAAATTTTTAATTTGATGTTAATTTATTTTTTTTATTCGATCTCAAATAGTTTTTTTTCTTTCTAATTTTATAAGAAAATTCATATTATATATTTATTTGATACTATATTATTTATATAGTATAGAATAAAATATTATTTTATCAATAAATAACAATTTCATAACATCTAACCTACCCCAATTGTGAGAATTTTTATCCATGTCTAATATAAATCTTTTTGGTGGCTCAAGAAAGGTGCTTAGCTAAATCAAAT